TACTACGGTACATGTTTCAATCTTGCTAATACTTGTGTAGTATAAGCAGGAGGAAAGAACAGGTAACATTTCAAGCACATATTTCTTCCCAGACATTATTGTAATAATATAAAGATATTCAATCTTTTCATCATTTGTAGTCTCAATATGGTAGCCATTTTGGCGAATATCTTTGAAACTTAATAAGTTTTGTTGAGATTTACTACAATATAATGCTTCATAAATAGCCAATTTTTTTTCTCCTAGTAGTAATAAATTGGCTCTTTCAGAACCTTCAATTAATCTTGTACTACCGGATATTGTATTAATATTGGCTTCTTTTATTACCAAATAAGAGAAATATATCTTATCTTCTTAAAATAGTGTGTGTTGTAGCACTATCCAGAAGACATATATTATCTTTATTAATCTTGAGTCCAACTGAAGAATGAGGAATTTTCATATTCTTCATAAGAAAAATCAAAAAAAGTACATCATAAGAAATATGAAAGACAAACAGAAAAAGAACATTAAGAATAAATTGGGAATGTAGAAACTAACAACACATGATGCATTAGGAAAATACACTCAAGAAAAATAAACTAATTGCAAACATTAAAAAAAAAAAACACAATTTTTGTTAGAGCTTCATTCCCCAATAAGATGATTAGTTCTTCAGTCAATATCCTCAAAGAAGTCTCCAGCTTCTAAATGAGTAATATTTGCCAGGCCTCCAAAATCATCATCTTTATATGCAAGAAGTGCCTCAAAATTATATTTATTTGAGGGACATGCTTCATCATCGTTATTTTGAAAGGTCAAGTGTGCCTCCACATTATTTTCTTTCTTTTTGAGGGAGGCTTGACAAAGTTTGACAAAATGATCTGGTGTACGACAAATGCGTATCCAATGACATTTCATACCACATCGGTGACATATACTAATTTTACCTTTTGAAGGATTAATTTGAGAACCCTTATTGTTCTCCAGTTTATTTTCACCATAATAACGAAAATTATTCCATCCCCTGCCACGTTCACGTCTACAACCATGTCCACGATCACGGTAATTATTTTGTTTTCTTTTAAACTTATCATATGCTGCTACAACATTCACTGTCGGGAATGGAACTAACCCAGTGGGATGGGCTTCATGAATTTTCATTAATAGAGTATTATTATGTTCTGCCACAAGAAGACATGTGATTAACTCAGAATATTTCTTAAAACCTTTTTAACGGTATTACTGTTGTAGCATCACATTTGAAGCGTGAAAAGTAGAAAATATTTTTTCCAATAAGTCCTCATCTGTGATAGTGTCTCCACATAATTTTAATAGAGAGCTTAATTTAAAGATAGCAGAATTATACGCACTTACGATTTTAAAGTCTTGCAACCTTAAATGTATCCACTCATACCGGGCTTTCGGTAATACCGTAAGTTTTAGGTGGTCATCAATCGATCCTTCAAATTAATCCATAATTCAAGTGGATCTTTTACGGTTAAATATTCAATTTTTAACCCTTCATGTAGATGATGACGAAGTAAACTAATGGCCTTCGCTTTATCCCGATTTGATGCTTCATTTTCTTGTATAATAGTATTTTCAAGACATTTAGCATCAAGGTAAATTTTAGCATCAGGGACTCATAACAAATAATTCTTCCCTGTGATATCAAGTGCCACAAATTTACAAATTCAACATAGTAAAAACTACAATAAAAAATTGTGTAAGTAAATATAAGGATAATCGTGAAATAAAAAAATGGAATAATCTCAAATCAGTGATACAACAACCCTATTACATAAGATTAACAGTATCATCAGATCATTAATCTAATATCCATAATACTTATTAATGACTGTCAACCAGTTATTGTATATTGGAAAGAAATATATGTGGCCATGCTAGTTCCTTTGATTATATGGGTCACCTATCTATTTCATCAAAACATGTAGGCAAACATAGATATCCTATTGAGCAGATAGTTGCTTAAGGAAAATTGGAGCATGACATACAGTTAAATATACATTGATTTAATTAGTTTGGTATCTTCGCTAGGTGTGTTCAGTTACTGTTTTGATTACTCTAGAAAAATTGGAAGCCTTTAGACATCAACTAACCATTACAGAAGGAATCTCGTCTATTATCCTATCATACTTGTGATCCTACTTTAACAACAATGATTATAATCAATTCAATAAATATATGAGTAAGCTGGTGATATTCTTTATGGCATCAAGTAAAATATTTTTGGAGTAGAAGTCACTTAATAAAATATGTAAAACTCATTATAGTTGTAACTGCACTATGTACATGAGATAGTAGTTAGCATGGTTACATGAGAGTAAAGCACATGGCAAAGTTTACATGCAAAATATGCACAGCAACAGTATTTAGAATAACTTTAAAAGAAACATACTTGATCCGAGGAGGAGAATAAGCACAACTTATAAATTATAGATTTGGTTAGAACCTCGTGCTGATAATGTGTTATAAAATAAAAACGAGTAAAATAAAAATAAGAAAGAGATATATAGAAAGAAGAAGCTTTTTCCTTCTTCTAGTGTGTTCTTTCATTGCAATTTACACATCCTTTTATAGTCATAACATTTGAAGATTTACTATTGTAAAATAGTGCATATGATGGACACAAAGTATGGGAGTCCATCCATAAGCTATTCACACACATGACACCCATATCTATAAACTATTCATAATATTTTGGTTAAATACATATACAACCCATTCAACTTGGCACCATTTTTTATTTTGGCACTCTATCTCTGTCTTTTTCCATTTTGGCCCTTCAACTCTGTTTTATATGTTCCATTTTGGCCCTCCAACTCTATTTCTTATGCTCCACTTTAACACAAAAGCTAAAAATCAATGCAAAAAATATAGCGCGTGTGTATACATAAATCTGAGGTGTAATAAATATTCAATTAAATATTGTCATCTGGTTTTTTTATCCATATCAAACGGGTCAATACTAAAATACCTGAACCCGGTCATATTTTTTGTAGGTTTATTTCATCTAAATGGGCTAGGTATGAAATCGGCAAATGAAAGGTTTAGAACTTAGAGAATGAAGATGGGGCAACAGTGGATGAAAAAATACAGTCGGGTTCAGGTATTTTATTATTGACCCATTTAACATGGATGAAAAAGTCAGGTGACAATATTTAATTGAATATTTATTACACCTCATATTTGTATATACACACGCGCTATAGTTTTTGCACTAGTTTCAGCTTTTGTGTTAAGGTGGAACATAAAAAATAGAGTTGAAGGGCCAAAACGGAACAAGGCAGATATAGAGTGCCAAAATAAATAATAGTGCCAAGTTGAATGAGCTGTATATGTATTTGGCCTAAAAAATTTCGAAATTCTCCAATTGACGATTTAACCCTCCTACCCCACCACACCTCACCACCCATCCCCCATGCAGCCCATGCCACCCAGCCCTGGCTTACCCTCCCTCTCCTCAACCCTCTCTTGCACCACCTCTTACCTCATGTAGTATTTATCAAGATATATATATCAACAACAACAATAACCCAGTATAGTCCCACAAGTGGGGTCTGGGGATGGTAGTGTGTACGCAGACCTTACCTCTACACCGATGGAGTAGAGAGGTTATTTCTGATAGACCCTCGACTCAAGAAGACGAAGACACAAAAAGAGAAAATATATCAGTACCATCATGGAAATAATAACAACAACATAAGAATCAGTGAATAGATGAAAGGCATAAATAATGACCAGTAAATAATGCCCGGCACTATAAAAACGGAAGAGTAGTGTAAACACACCACTAACCACTAGCAGTCTAAGACTAAATCCTATTAGCCTAGCCTCACACTGCAAGACTAAATATGCTCAACTACCTCCTAACCCACAACCTTAATGCTCGACCTCCACAGCTTCCTATTAAGTACCATGTCCTCGGAGATCTGAAGTCTCGCCATATCCCACCTGATCACCTCTCCCCAATACTTATTAGGCCGCTCTCTACCTCTCCTAGTATCTACCAACGCCAACCACTCGCACCTCCTTACGGGGGCATCCAAGCTCCTCCTCGGAACATGCCCAAACTATCTGAGTCTCGCTTCCTACATCTTGTTATCAATAGGAGCCACGCCCACCTTCTCCCGAATATCTTCATTCCTTATCTTATCAATCCTAGTGTGCCTGCACATCTACCTCAACATTCGCGTTTCTGCTACTTTCATCTTCTGGGTATGTTAGATCTTAACCGGTCAACACTCAGCCCCATATAACATGGCCGGCCTAACCACTGCTCTATAAAATTTACCATTGAGTAGCAGAGGCACTTTCTTGTCACACAGGACTCGAGATGATAACCTCCATTTCATCCACCCCACTCCTATACGGTGTGTGGTATTCTCATAGATCTCCCCACCCCCATAGATAACTAAACCAAGGTACTTGAAATTGCCTCCCTTGGAAATGACCTGCAATCCAAGCCTCACGTCCATGTCCTCTTCCCTCGGCTCAGCACTGAACTTACATTCAAGTTATTCCGTCTTCGTCCTGCTCAACTTGAAACCCTTTGACTCAAGAGCCTATCTCTAAACCTCCAGTTTCTCATTACCGTCTTCATCTTTGATGCACCTCACTTGATCTAGATCCCACACCTTCCTCTCCTTCACCTTAGCCAGCCGGAATAATTTTTTCTCCTCGCCTTTGACCCCTAGATCCTTGTACATATGACTAAAAGTCGTAGTCTTAGCCTCCATGACCACCAGTTTCGCCTCCTTCCTAGCTACTTTATACCTCTCCTTGTTCGCACTCATCTCAACCTCGCATGTGCTCCCTACTAACTTTAGGTACACCGCCTTCTTCGCTTACACTTTACCATGGACCACTTCATTCCACCACCAGTCGCCTTTGTGCCCGCCAGCGAAACCCTTTGAGACTCCCAACACCTCTTTTGCTGCCTCCCGTATATAATTCGCCGTGGTCGACCACATAACGCTCACGTCCCCACTACTCCTCTAGGATCCCACGACCAATAGCCTCCCTTTCAACTCTTGAGCTTTATCCTTAGTCAAGGCTCCCCACCTGATCCTCGGTCGACCTCGTGCAGTCCTCTTCTTTCTCTTCATCATAATACCAACGTCCATCAGCAAAAGCCTATGCTGCGTCGCGAGGCTCTTACCCGGGATAACCTTGCAATCCTTACACAACCCTCTATCGTACCTCCTAAGGAGCAGATAGTCAATATGAGTCTTTGCTAACGTGCTCTGGAAAGTAACCAAATGCTCCCCCCTATTTGGAAAACTAGAGTTAGCAATCACCAGCTCAAATTCCCTTGCGAAATCCAACAGCGAAGTTCCTCCTACGTTCATATCCCCAAAACCAAAACCACCATGCACCTCATCATAGCCGCATGCAATAAACCCAATATGACCATTAAAATCCGCTCCTATAAATAACCTTTCAGCAGGCGGAATACTACGCATAATCTCATGTAACCCCTCCCAAAAGCGTCTCTTGACCTCCTCATCCAAGCCTACTTGGGCACATACACACTAATGACATTTAGGGTGCACTCTCCAACCACCAACTTAATAGACATTAATCTATCATTTACCCGCCTAACCTCTACCACAGACTCTCTAAGTTCCCTATCTACTAAAATGCCTATACCATTCTTACCCTTCAGGACTCCAGAGTACCACATGTTATACTCGTCTGCATTCCTCACCCTCGATCCTACCCACCAAGTCTCTTGGACACACGCTGTATTGACCTTCCTCTTTTGTAGGATCTTCGCCAGCTCTATAGACTTACCCGTCAATGTACCTATATTCTATGACCAATTCTCAACCTACAGGAACCCTTGTGCCCCTTACCTCCATTGCCTCCCATCCC